TGATGACAACACCGTTTTTCTCTTGTGCCATCCAAAACTTCGGATCATCTCCTGAGAAGAGGTGTACCACCAAAGTCTTTGCACGTTGGACTTTCCGTCGATGATGGCGATTGAAGATCACCTGGTTTTGCCAAATCCGCAGGTACTTTTGGGAAGATTGCTTTGGGTCTCTTCACCACTTCCACTTCTGGACAGACCTTGTGCAGTTCCCCATTCGGTCTGATGGCCACCACCTTCATTTGTGTCTCACGCCGCTGATGATCTTCCACTTGTTGAAGGATACAAACGCCTTCACGCCGAGGAAGTGTTGGGCATCCTTGGTCAAGCTGTACTGGTAGTTGAGCACCATCTGGTGAGTTGATCTTGCAGCCTGATCCCGTCCACTTCACCTCATAGCCCAGCCTTGTCAACGCTGCCATGGGAATGATCATCTGAACGTCGTGAAGCGTCAACAGCGATCCTGTCACCGCATCTTGTTTCAGTTCCGCTGTTCCCGGTGCCAAAGCGACTTGAGCTGGTTCTCCTTGATCCCATTCATCTTGAGATTTGGCTTTCCTCAATACATGAGTAGCACCACCAACGATCAGAACTCTTTGATTCTTGCCCATGTCAATCTTCCTGAGGTTCACCGTCTTGACATGGCGATATGCCGTTGAGGAGGATTCCGGGGTTTTCAATCTCTTTATCAGCGACGACACTTCCGTCACCAACGTTGAAATCTCCCCCGTACCAGCACCTGACGTCCCTTTTAGAATCAGCGGGTGCTTCTTTTCCTCCGTCTGTTTCAACCTTTTTCACATTCTTCTGATCATCTTTTGATCCTACTGAATTGCCTTTCTGGTCTTCTTTGTTAGCTTTTCCACCCTTTCCTTTGGAGCTACCTTTTCCACCCTGTTTGCCAGGACTTTTTCCATCACCACCACCGGCACCACTCCCCCCCCGCTGGAGAACCTTTTGAAGCTCCAGTCGTAGTGTGGGTCTTGTCCTCCTTGTTCGGAGAGTTGTTGGGGCAATCCGGGTTTTTGTGAGACGTTGCTATGTAGGTATAACAGTGGTACTTGCCATCATCATGCGCTGGATGCTGGAACTTGCATTGTGCTCCTTGTCGACATCCATGCTCAGACTTCCAGAATCGGCAAACCGGTTGTGCTGGATTGCCCGCCTTTTGATTTTGATCTTTCAGGGTTTTCACCGCAGGCCCTCCTTGTGCTTTACCAGACACCTCTGTGCTGCCAAGTGCAAGTTCAACTTCTGCAAGTAGCATTTGATGTAGTTGTTTGACCGTGGCAGCTGTTGGCTTGGTATCAACCTGTGCACCCATGCGAAACGCACTGAGGCAGAAGTTCGCCTGTGGATTCCCCTGAAGAAGTTTCGACATTATCTGATCAAGGGTCTGGAACCGTTGCACCTAGCTCTTCAGCTCGTGAATGGTGACGCTGCCACATTCTCAAAGACGTGGAAGCTTCCAGGTACGTCCTGGCAGGTTGAGTTATGGTCAGAGCTTGCAGGGTGTTCTGTCGCTGCCCCAAGCCTCCTGGCTGGTAGACCTTCATCACTTTGAAGATGATCTGAGCAGCCCCAAGCTGACGATTCGCAATCATCTCTGCAGCCAAGGTTTTTGAGATGCATGAGAAATGACGTCACCCTCTGCTCCAACCTCGTAAACCCTTGAGGCAATTCCTCCACTGCCGGAGGTTGCACATTGAGGCGAGTGATAGGATCACTTCCCAACCATTGTTGATAACGTTGAGTGGTCATGGTCACCAAAGTATCCCACCACCACATTGCACGATGACTCACATCAGCGATCTGAGGTCGAATTTGCACCATCCAACGCCAGCTTCAAGTCCTTGATTTTTCCCTCCCAATTCAGGAAGTTTAGGTAGAGTGATGGTCACCGGCTTGAGCTCTTCTTCGCGAGGCCGGTCATCTTGAACTCCACCACCCAAGAAAGTTCCTGGGTTACAATTTCCACCTCCTTGATGTTGACCCCCACTTTGGTAAGGATTCCCAAACTGGCCTCCTTGTTGTCCAAGTTGGTTTCCAGCTATGGGTTGTCCCTGTTGATGAAGATAAGGATTACCACCATTGACATGAACCCACCCACGCATGTTAATGTCATCGCAGGCCTGACGCAGAGTCTGCTGAGCTCCGAACGGATCAGCACTTGGAGGTCCCACTCGTTGAAATGGTTGGGCTCCATACGCACCCAAAGGCTCTTGACCAGGCAACCTCCGCATAGTCAAAGCTTCACGAAGGTCCTTGAGTTCTTGCTCCAGTCTCTGAACCCTATCCGCTTCTGGGTCAGGTACATGTTGAACTCCACCTTCTGCTGTTCCAGAAGCCATGTAGATCTCCATCAGCTTGTTGAGCACCAACACGAAACGTCTGTGGTCCCAGCCATTTGTTGACCCCCGCTTCACTGTACTCCTCGTAGTCTCCCAATGGCATAGGCGGCACTGGAGGCAATGGCGGCGGCATGGGATCCTTCTCCACCTTGTCGACTGGCGGCGGTCCATCCGGAAGTCGAGTTCCACCAGGAGTGACTTTGTTCACATCTTTTGTCTGGCGGTTCGTAGGTGTTGTTGGAGTCGTTCTTGATGGCACCGACTCCCAACTTGAGGTGTCCAACTCATCTTGTTGTTGAACTTGTTGAACTTGTTGTCCACGAGGAGATGGCTGAGATTTGCTCATTGCATCCAACCTTTTTCGAAGCTCCTCGTTTTCTTGCATCACTTGCTGCACCAACAACGAGCTCAAATCCTGCTCCAACGTTGGTCCTTTTTGATCCTTTGGCTGGATCTTTTTGAGTTCTGCATCGGTTTTTTCTTGCAGACGATCTTGACCTTGATGTTGAAGACGATCTTCACCCCTTGGTCGGCTTCGATCTTTTCGTTGGCGATCTACCGAAAGTCCACGAGAGCCTCGATCGTTTCCTTGACGACTTCCTCCACGCTGTGGCATTTCAGGGCTTTTACCTCTCCCACGTTGCAGACCTGATACATCCCCATGTGAACCTCGAAGAACACCACCTAGAAGATCTAGAGAACGTTGCCTTTGTCCAGCAGGATTCCCTTCTCTTCCACCTTGATCTTGCCATAGAGGTCCTTGAGAACGAAGTGCATCACCTTGCCGTTCTCTTTGATCGTTTCCCCCTTGACCTTTCCCTCGATGTCCTTCACCACCAAGAAGGGCCAAGAAGATCTACTTGAGGAATTCCTGCGCACGAAGTTTGATGCGCCAAGTCCTCGTCTAAGTCCAAGATATTGAAGTCCGTAGTGTCTTCATGCATCCTGACACCTGGGTGCCCTGTGGTCCTGGAGTTTGGGGATTCCAGCTACTTGGTGTTTCAAATGCCACTTGAGTAGGCATCTGGCCTTGACTTCTAACCATTCCCCCACCGCTACCCATCGACCAAGAAAGTCCTTGCACCAGTCTTGGTGTTTCATCTCCTGGTTCCCACTCATCAGCAGGAACTGGAGGTAGACTTTCTGGAGTTGCCAGGATTGGCGGCAAAGCAGCTGGTCTCAGCCTATCCACCCGTACTGCATCTTGTACTCCTTGGGACCAAAAAGGGTTCACCTCCTCATCCTCATTCATTTGAGGATGCCCTTCTCGATGTTCTGGAACGCTTCTTCCTCGTCGACGCGCCATGTTTCAGCGACGAGAGGCACAGCTTGGGCTCATAACATGCTAACGGAGCAGCGTGAGCCGCGACTTTTCTTGGCAAAAGAAGCCTGCAGTAAGAGGTTGTTGTTACTTACCGCAATCTTTTTGTGGTACAGATACTACACTTGTTCATAGCCAAAAAGCCAGCTGCTAAAATCCCGTTTGCACTCAAAATGGGGGGTACCCGAAAATTAGACCGCTTGAATTTGGAAATGAAATGAGCATGATTCAAGGGTTTTTGTGTTCCCAAGCTGGAGACAAAGGCATATAGGGAAATGATCTGCAACTGGGGGCTATGATAGTTCTTTGCCATAGGAAAAGGGTGGTGTAGTCTTGGATTGATTTTGGCCACTAGGGCCCCCATGCAATCACGGATAGCCATTCCATGGGTGAAAAAAAATAAGCTAAAAATATGACAACGAAATATCAACTCAGATTGAATATTAAAAAAAATAATCAAATCGCAAAGCAGTTTCCAAGGTGATCAGATCGGCATTCGTCAAATCTCCAGACACCTCCGACAGGGGTTGATGGCAGCTTTCTTTAGGTTCAACGGCTCAACTATCTGAATGATCCTGAATTCAGAGGGTTTACACCTTCAACTCCGCATGAAATATGGGGATAGTTCCAGAAGTGGCCCAATGACAGAGTTGCCACTGGGTGGTTTATCCCATTTGGCATCACAAAGGTTGTCAGCCGCAAAAGTTGGCATCACATGACTCTTGTATTTCACTGGTTCATTTGAAAGGGGATTTGGGCCCCCATGAAGAATTTCAGAAAAGATAGATTTTTCAGGGTGTCCCATCACCAAAAAGATAGATTTCAATAAGCGTTTTCTACCCAATTGGCTGAGAACCCCGGTAAGTAAGTCCGCTACATGGGTTATCCCATTTGCAACTAGGTTGTAACCTCGCTTGTGGTTTGCTAATCAAGGCGCGCCGCAGCTCACACTTTTCACCCCATACGGTGGTGCATCGAAAGGTCAAAGTTTGCACCCACCACATAAAAAGGAAAAACATGGAACTCTGGCCGGTGGAGTTCTGGGGATGGTGGAGGGACGGCTTGAGAGGTTGAAATGTTCACATGTCTCCACCTTAAAGGTCAAGGCGCACCACAGCTCACACTTTTCACCCTTGTTTGTGTCAGGTTCATATGTTGGTGGTGCATCGAAAGGTCAAAGCTTGCACCCATTCCACCTGCTTTGCACTGCCTAGAAAGTTCCATGCTTCAAGAAAAACGGCCATGTCGCACTTGGAAAGTCTGCCGCTTTATATCGCTGCACTGTACATAAAACCTCGGGAGCAATTCCATAGCTTCAAGGACTTTGGTCTTTAAGAGTCTTCCAAGTCATTAATATAGGTTTCTGCAGCAACTTCCTGGAGATAAATCTCCAAAAATTTGCAGGATGCCCAACGCCCCCTTCTCCGAACCAGCTCAATATTTTCTGTCGCCCGAATGAGCCAGAGGCTTCGGCCTCTGTCCTGGTCGGTGTGGAAGACCCAAGGTTTGTAGTACCTTGTCGAGCCGATGTCTCAGCATCGATCCTGAAAACGGTCACAATGGTTCATCCTCTGCCAGTTTCGAAAAGCCCAGGCTGACAACAGAAATGAGATCCGGTTGCTCTATTTTTCCTGCTTGGTGGCGTGCAGCTCTATGGCGTGCTTTGGGCCCTTGATTCGAATCAGTACGAAGTCATTTGATGCAGCAACATCTGATGGCAGAACAAAGTCTCTTCCGCATGCTTGATAGACTTCTCCAATCCTTAACAAGCCACCCCATGACAATGCTATGCATGCCGCTTCTCTTCACCATCCCCTGATAAGCATGACCGATAAAACTGCCAGTAAAATTTGGCACGGCATCGCCACATGGTGCTCCGTCGGCTCAAGAGGGCCCCACATGAATGCCAAATCCCAAGCCTGCTGTAAGGATCTTCTCAACAGTGGTCTACGTGCAGCTACTGGGTTTATTTTTTCGCTGTAATGAAAATACGGCTTACCAGACTCAAAAGCCATCTCCCAAAATCAGTCAGCAAATTGTTGATGCGGTCAAGGTCAGGTGGATTCGAACTGAAAAAGGTCACCAAAAACTAGATCAATCGATTCCAGCCATCCTTTGAACCTCTCCAGCAATTCTACCCAAGTAGCTGCAGTCACTTCCGTAGTTTTTCGACTCTCACCCAGTTCGATCCCTGCTCTAGCAGCCTGACGCATTCGATCTCCATGGCTCTGCGTGGCCGGATCTAGCCTACGAGCACCCGCAGCAGCACCCCCCAAGAAAGTCCAAGGCAAAAGGATGCATGAGGTATGGTGCCAGGAACAGCCCAGCAGAAGGAGAGAGGCCACAAGTCCAAATCCACTGGGAATCCCAGCGTCGAATCAAATTGGGAAAAGATATGAGGCTCAGGGGTATATGACACAGGATGGACCCTAACTGACTCACTTCCGACATGGAAATTTGAGATCCCAGCCAGAAGGATAAGAGTGAGCCTGATCCAGTTCGAAATCCATCTACGTGTCTTTGGCAATGTGGACAGCGACTGAACTCCTGGGAGCCCACTACTCTTGAAAACTAAGTCCAAAACTGAGTAACTGGCGAACTGACCTGGTGATCCTGGTTGGGGCATCAGCTGGCATAGACCTCGTAGGTGAAAATCTCCCAGCAAGGTAATCCCAAAACGGACTGAAAGCGCTGCAGACTGCCGTAGCATAGGTCTTAGGGCATTCGAGGAGATTCTTCCCCTGGCCAAACTTGATCTGGAGACATGGGAATCCCCTAGGTAGACAAGGCGGCAATCCCATCCCTCTCTAGCTACCTTCCTCATCAGCTTCAGCGCTGACGCAGTCTCCAAAAGCTTGATATGGGACTTCCCACTTCATGTCCATGAATCTTCGATCTTCCACTCGCAGGACAACGCGAGGTCATTGGAAATGGGGTCCACCAATGCCTTCAGCACTCCTCTGAATGTGCTCAAAGAAAAGCTCAGCCATAGCTTTTGCGATGTTTTAGAAGGCTTTGTATATTTTCCCTGAATTGGGATATGCACATGATCTCGAGCGCAGGGCCTCCTCAAAAATTCCAGGATCATGTTGATGGCGCTCAAATTCTTTCTGGTGAACACTTCCAAAAGCACAACTAGCCAGGAGAGTCTCAGTTGCTCCCATCTCAAGAAGCCTCTGCCATGCGCGCAACCACCTCATCTCCTCGGGGTCTCAAGCACACCCATCGCCTCTGTACGCTTGCATGCTGCCAAAGCATTTCCCTGAAGGACTCTGGGACTTGTACGGTCAAAGCCCACTGGGTTTTCGTAGCTCCTCAAAAGATGGCCATGCAGCTGCAGAAAATGTTGTGCAAGGAGGGGCCAACAAGACTGCTCTAATCCTCTTTGATTCAAGCATGAAGTTCAACCATGCAATGACCCTGAAGTTCGCCATGTGGCAGTGGGGGCTGAAGGATATGTCCTTAACAGGAAAACACTTCTACGAAGTCAAACTTGAGGCCAATTGGACGGTCAACGTGCGTTCCTCCTCCTCACCAAAAAATGACGTAGGCAACTGCTCAAAGTCAGGACCATAGGTGTGAGAGATGACCTGCGCAGCACTAAGGATGGGCACATTGCTGCCTTTCTTATCGGCTGACCTCGAGAGAATTTTCGAAATCTCCTGGGCACTTCTGCAGAAACTATCCCTCCTTTTGTATTGGAAGCGTCTGTGGCATAGATCTTTGGATGCATGGGCACTGCCAGGTTTGAGCAACAAACCGGAGCTAGTGCAGCAAAAATAGCAAGCTCTTGAGCTGCAGCTCTGCTGAGAGGCCTCAACACTGGATGCTCCGGGTCAAGCTCTTTCGGGGACACCACATGGAAGACTTGGTCAAGGATAGCCATGGGGAGTCTGCGAAACATCCGTGCAGACACAATTGAGCCAACCAAGCTTGCATCCAGGCTATCACTGGTGTAGGGCCATGAGCTAGAAAGCGCGGCGACCAAGGCCAATGCAATTCTCTTGCCAGCAGTCGGGCCACATATTACAGCCCCGCTTCCCACCACTTCATCTCTAGAATCAACTTCAGCGCCAACAACCTTGAAGACCCTCTTTCCATAAACATCTTTGTCATCAGAGCCATAGACATCATGTTCAGCATAGGCCCCTTTCGCAGTCAACAAAAGGGCTGCGCCTCTCTCTGAAATTCTCATCAAAAGTAATCGTCAATCACCAGGCCCTCTACGGTGCTGTCAGAAATTATCGCCCGGCTGGCAAGGAGCCTGGAACAAGGATGAAGGAGATGATGGTGAACCAACAGATTCTCATGGGCGCTACATGCAATCTCTACTCCCAGGTGGTCCCCTTGGAACATGGCACCCAATTGTTGCTGCTACCTCTACGTCATCATTGACAAGGGTGCTCCTGCGGCTTCCATGAAGAAAATCACCCTGCTCCTCCCTATTTAGGCGCTTCTGCTTTTAAAACATGCGCAAGAAGTGATCATATAAGCCGTCGTGCCTTTGAGGATGTGCAGGGGGCATCACGGGATAGACCACATTTGAAACAGCACGCTCATAGGAAGTGGCAAATTGGTGGTAAAAGTTTCGTGTGTCAGTGACAATCCCTGGAGGCCTTCAGCATACCTCTCCGGCATGATGTGCATAAGCCCCATACGTGTAGCGAGAAAGTGTGAGGGGCCTTCCTCAAGTCTCCCTTCAGTAAAGTTCCACGGCGATCACCAATTTGCCGGTCTGCATCAACCGGCTTGTAGTTGTTGAACACTCTGGTGAACAGGCGATAATCAGCGGGCGCTAACTCGCTTGGAACCAGCCGCAGCAAACCTCTAGCATCCCAAACCTTGGCTAACCTAGAGACCTCATGTGGATCATCTGGGCGAACGTCAGGACATAGATGCTTTGGAGGCCTGATGTCAAACTGGTTGAAGTTGGGTTCCATAAAAGGCATGTAGAGGAGGTGGTTAATATTGAAGAGCTCATGTACACGTGCATCAAATTGAAAACTTTTCCGTCCACACCTGGCAACTGTTGCCACATCAGATAGGACAGGGGAGCTCGGTCATGAGTGAAGTTGAGGGCCATGACAGCCACATGAAGGAGCTTCCTGCGTGCTCTCAGGGAACGGGCAGCACTGTTCATCTTCTTCGGGCCACAGCTCCAGATACAATCAGATGACTGGAGCCGGGAACAAGGCGGTTGCAGGGAAAAAAATTGTACGAAAAGCCAACAGCCTCCTCACCTGGATCTCAACCCATGCATGGATAGGAAACCCTCCTTTGTTTATCTTCTCAGGGAAGGAACCCTCATCCTCTGAATTCTCCGCCTGGGCCTCCGTTCGCCATAGTCAGAAGCTTTTGCAACAGGCATCTTCTCACTACAAGCCAAAGCTCCCCTCCCGCAAGTCGCAGTCACCTGAAGGGGCTGCGCTGATGATGAAGAGGGCGGTAAGGGAGCAGGGCTATGCCTCTGCGCTTGGTTTGCTGCTGGAACTTGCGGGCTCTCCTCCTTGCCATTTGGGCCTCCTCTTTGGCTTTGCTTTGGGCACTCCTGGAGATACTTCTGTGGCCTGCTGCTTTGGCTTGCTGATCTCGGCCTTGCGATTCTGGATGTAGTCCGCCTCCTTTGCATATGCTAGGGCCACAATCGCACACTTCTGGGCACACAAGGGGGCGAAAGCCCGCAGCCTGCCTTGTGTCACAGCAGGACGATAGCTCCAAAGCTGGCTGGGCGGTTCCTCCAACAGCATAAGTGGATACGCCAGGTCCCACGTGTTGTCGTCCTGAGCTGCTTGAGTGCAGTCATAGTTAGAGCAATGTTCTCTCTCACCCCCTCCAGATCCTCGTTCAGTGCACAGTCGAAGATGTGCCCCAGACTGTATCAGACCCCACTCGTGACAAGATCCGTAGCCACCGAATTTCTCTAAGCAGGTCAACATCGACAGGTCCATGGCTTGAGCAGCCTCCACCGTCCCTGGCAATTTCGAAGCCGGCTTTACCCTCTTGCACATGTTCTGGAAGACCGCAAGGAAAAATCCTCCTGGCCTGCTCGCGAGCTCTTGCTGCAAACGCTCTCTTCCCTGGGCCCCCCTGGATCCTAGAGAGAATCCTGAACTTGTTTGTTGTTCATCTAGCCATGGATCTCCTCGTTGCTGTAGCTTACTCACCAAGCTCGTAAGGGCCTTCGATTGCTGGAGAACTGCATGGGCCAGCATATTGCCTGCTGGCATCGCTACTTCCACCTCCCCGCCCTCTACCATGTGTGTGGCCATAGGTGGCTGCTCTTATGCCCTCACTACAGCCGCTGGTGCTTTCGTTCTCGGAGGGCTCCCCATCATCTTCGCAAAACTCTGAAGAGGCGCTGAAACAGGCATCTGGCTGGCTCTTGGTGGGGACGTTGCATGGTGCTGCATCTGAACACGTAGCTCCTCCTGCCCCCTCTGTAGTGCATCTATCTGAGTTGTCAGAGTTGGCAAAAGACCAGCCACCTCTGCGAGCTTCTCTGCCACATTTGCATTGGTCATTCTTTTGTTCTTGGGCTTTGGAGTGGCGTTTGGAGCGGTCCCTGCATTCCTTGTGAGGCTCATAGTCTCCCCGTCTGCCTGCTCCTCTGCCGCAGAGCATTTCTGGGGCTTGATGTGCCGTAGACGCAATCCACTTTCTGGCTGCGGCCATCACAGCTGGCACATCTGGTAAACCTGCTGGGCCTGATCCAAACGTGATCATGGACTCGGGAACAGCAGGGTCTGGCATGACCTCCATGAAATTTCGAATCGAAACCTCTGCATCTACAAAAAGAACATCTAGGAGCTCCACCTCTTCCTCTGCAAAAAGAAGCTGTGCAGGAACTGTAGCGAGGGTTTTTGCCCCAAAAACTGAAAAAGGATCTCCTTCTGAAGTTGGCGGCAACTGATCTGCTGAGAGGGTGCCTGAAGGCAAAGCTAACAGTAACCCTCCCTCTCTTCGCATCAAAATGGCGGCCTGTGCCAAAATAGCTTCTGAAGCCTCCTCTTCCAAATCCAACGCTATGTTCAGTTCGCTTCCAAAACCTCGAGCTCTATGGTCGCCATTGATAAGCTGTTGGTGGCAATGCAACTCCTCCAGCGGCACAATAAATTCTGGCCCCACTCTTCGAAGGGAAGCCGTGAGAAACCGTGCCCTGGACACTGGAACGATATGCAGATGCCGACTCACGCAGCAAGGGACACTCAAAATCTGGGGCCTTGAGCACAATGTACGCCTTGTTGGCCAAATCAATGGGCTTGGTGGGCCTGCACTTGTAGACATGGCCCTGGACACAGAAACGAGCCCAATATCTTGCTTCCCCAGGCTCTGGACGCTCGGCTCTCCTTTGATAATTGACTGCCCCCCCAAGCTTGAACACAACTCAATAGCCCAGCCAAGAACAGCAGGGATCTCAGTGGCCAATGAATCAAAGATGGACGATGACGATTGGCCAAGGGATGCCGCGGGTCTGGTTGGAGAGGACTGGTGCCTAGGAGCAGGTGCTGGCTCAAATTGGCCACGCTGACCTTCAATTGCCTCAATTCGTGCTGCCAAGCGATCCACCTTTGCAGACAATTCCTGAACAGCCAAGTTCAAATCACTAAGAAGTGAGGCAATGCCTTGGTGGTCCGGCATCATGCAAATAGCCCTGAAGGCGAGTGATTGGACCCCTGATCAGTGGAAGATGGGGGATAGGCCTGGCAGGCAAGGGTGAAGCAGGAACCCCCACAAATCCAAAGGGTGAGGAGAAGTCCAAGCAGCAGGGAGAAGCAAACCCCGAGGAGCCAACAGCAGAGCACCCCAAAAGGAGGGCCACAATGGCCTGGGCAAGCAAGCCCCCAAAAGTTGCTAGAAGTGGCTGGGGTGAGAAATTCACTCACCTCCGCCAAGTGTGACAGGTTTGACCCCATACGGCTTGAGAGGTTGAAATGTTCACATGTCTCCACCTTAAAAAGTGAGATCATCCTCCAGGAATAATCCCATCCCCCTAAAAACAAACATCCCCATCCCATGGTCCCAATATTGTGGAAATTCCCTACCATGGTTTTTACAGAGGGTTTTAATATGGGAAGGGGTTCCTTCATCCTGGTCGATTAAGGGTACCAGATGGTGCAGATCGTCTTCCCCAGAGCTTGCACCACCTGCTGCACATACACAAGGTTGCTCCAGCAGCCGACCACGTATTCCTGGTCGGCAAGTTCTTTGGCCAATGCGTGTGTCTAAAAATGGGGATACCGTACCTATACAATGGTAGTTTAGTGGGGAAACTGATTGTGCCCCATCAAACTCTGCAGGTGCCCTATTTTCAGATAAACCCACATATGTTGGGCACGTGTTAGTCATGCGTTGGCTTTGGTTTGAATCATCACCATATTTTCACGAATGCAAAGTGGAAAGCAAAGAAAACAGTCCTGTTCGCCCACACCAAGGGTTGGACCAAAGTCCAAAAACACCACGTTCAGATCAAATATCCGCTGCAAGTTTTGTCGACCCACCACCACTTGGTTATCGCGTGCTCCATCGATGCGTGGACCACTGGTGACTGGCACGGTGCTGCCAATCAACGTGCCGAGCGTGGCATTGGTGATGCGGTAGAGAGCGCCCCCCCGGGTGCCAAAGTTTTCGTCCTTGGTCTTGAACCTGCGGTAGGGGAACTTCCAAAGTGGAGCATAAAGTTGTTCATATCAATGTAATTATAAGAACTACAACTAACCATCTGATTGCTCATGATTTGTTGAAGGGAAAAATCTATGGTTGAGGTTGCAACACCCAATTTTGATTCATGAAATTGGTGATGAAATTGGTGAACATCAACCCTGGACACATCCCCGTCCAGAAGTTGCCATCCACATCCAGGTTGGCAGAGAAGGTATTCTGTAGACGACCCAAGAAGCAAAGCGAGCCGGTCACTGGCACATACGCTCCCACGGTCCCCTCCACAGTTCCTGGGCTTCGCCAAAAACCATCCTGAAGAGACAAATAGAAAAGATTATGTTTAACAAACAACCAATGCAAATGAACAGCTGTACAATTGATTTATGTATGTGTGTGTGTTTGTATATATATATATATATGTCCATGTCAATCGGCAATGATCCTCCCACTTGTGCAAATCACAAAAATCCTCCATCTCTGACGGTGAGGTGCTCGTTTCCAGCTCCGCCACATTGATATCGCAATCCACTCGAACAAGATTGTCGTTACCGGGGCGCTCATTGCAGTAAAGCAGGTTGGTCTGGGGATGGATTCCACAAGCATTCAGACATCGTCCCGGAATATTGCACAAGTCCGTGTACGAACCATCTTCCAAATTCAATCTCTTGATCTGCCTCAGATGCCACGATGACACACCAAACTCCTGCTAAAAGAATCCAAGGGATTTGCCCATTTTTGCAATTCCCATGGGTCCCATATTGTAAATGACGTGAAACCGATGCAGCAGGTTCATCGCTGACGCTTCCAAGGCGCGCTGTACCTCGACCGTTATTACAGGCCAAGTCGTCGGTGTCAATTTCGTCCTGGTTATTAATCTGGTTGATGACCTGCGAAAACGCATATTTGGCAGTGAGGGGATGATGGGAATATCACCAAGATTACCAAGATTACCATGGGGGAAGAATAGTGGTTTCAGCATGAGAAATCGGAGATGTAATGGGGATATATATATATATATCATTAGGTTAGGATTAGTTTGGGGGATTTGAAAATTGTTAGTAAAGAGGGGTTAACCATCAAACATCTAGATGTACATGATAATGGTTCTCACAAAATGGGGCCAATAATTGTTTTAGCTGGGAGGAGATAGTGAGCTTTTAATGGGATTCCTTTGGGATTGATAACAATCCATCATTGGGACTAGCGGTAGGGGATACTATTATATAACTATTGGGATGGGAATTGAAATAGTGATGCTACTTGATCTTGGTTTACGCAGCAAGAACAACAACGATGACGACGACAACGACAACAAGTAACAAGAACAACAACAACAACAACAACAACAACAACAGCAACAGCAACAGCAACAGCAACAACAACAGCAACAGCAACAGCAACAGCAACAACAACAACAACAACAACAGCAACAGCAACAGCAACAACAACAACAACAGCAACAACAACCACAACAGCAACAGCAACAGCAACAGCAGCAACAACAACAACAACAACAGCAACAGCAACAACAACAACAACAGCAACCACAACCACAACCACAACCACAACCAACCACAACCAACCACAACCAACCACAACCAACCACAACCAACCACAACCAACCACAGCCAACCACAGCCAACCACAGCCAACGACAGCCAACGACAACCAACCACAGCCAACCACAGCCAACAACAACCAACCACAACCAACCACAACCAACCACAATCAACGACAACCAAGGACAATCAGCAACTACGGCACCGACCAAGACAGCGACAAAGACAATGACAAAGACAATGACGAAGACTACAAGCAAGATTACAACAAACGGGTGTGAACTCATCAATGGTATGTCATATTCTTGAAACCATCGTTCGTTTTTGGGTGTTTTACCATCAAAAATGTTTTACCATCTTGATGCCCTCTTGTAGTCAAACATGGCAATGGAAATAACCCCTTTATAGATAATTTTCCCATTTATACAAATGCCCATTGGAGGCGAATGAATCTTGAGCCCCTAACAAAACACTTCCGGGGGCGCCAATGGTGTCTAAAAATATTTACAAACAAAGCAAGTGGCGCATCATGGTATAGATATATATATATATATACATATTTTTACAAATATGTAATGAAAACCCAATAGTGAAAAACACTCTCCACTTAGGGGTGCAGTTGGGGGTTTTGGCATGCGTATAACTATGGTCCCATAACCCCGTAAGTTGGGATAGAAGCCTTACAAGTTTGCCCCTTACAATTATTATGCACACACTTATTAAGTCGAACTGCAACCCCAAGCAAGTCATAGGGTGGGTAACGAGGAATTCAACCAACAAAAATCAAGGTTAGAAATGGTTCCAAATTGCTATGAATGGCTATAAATGGTTTTAAGTTATAAGTTGGTGATTTAACCAGCTTATAATGCCGAATATTGTACCAACAATGTTGACTGGTGATGTTTTGGGATAGAACGGTTGGTTTCTTGAAGGGGACCGCCGGACCTTGTCGTCCACCTCCGGTACTCTCCAGCAAGCTACGTTCAATTCCCAGAGGGTACCCTTGGGATGATTAAAACCAAACGTCAACTGGTTGATCATTGTGGGTGGTTGATGGTACTGGAGATCCTGCCCTTGGGTTTGTGTGTGGTCGTGGTCCTCCATACAAACTTGTCATAGGTTTGGGGTTCCAAGATCATCCCAAAAAGTATAGAGTTTCGCCGTGATACTACAGTGTGTTTCAAACTGGCTTCAAAAATAGGACATCTCAGCCACCCTATGATAGTTCAAGGGAGCTTGGCTCTGATGTCCAATAACAACATGGACGGAACCATGTTGGAACCATTTTTTTCGAAAGCGATATGCAGTACAGCGAGTACTTCACGTCAGCAGCAGCAAACCCAGGGCTGATGGTCTATTTCATTTTGGGGATTAGAAGTTTCCATTGTTCTTGGTGTTCAGCTAGAGGGAAAAGGAGATGAACAAATCGAGTTGTATTATACCATTGTTTCATGCTGGCAGCGGAGAATGTCTTGAGCTCGACAATGGTGAAATGGGAATAGAATAGGTGGAGAAAATGTCCTAATACAGGAGGATTTTGTCGGAGATGTTGGAGACAATGTGCAGATTCTGCAAGTGCGATTTCTGGCCAATGAGCTCTGGGGGCGCCTCTTCTAAACGGAGAGGAAATAGTGCGTAGAGAGAATGACGTTGTTAAAGCAAATGTGGAATTCAGGAGAAGTAGGGTGGCGGATAATGTGTCCAAGGTATTTGATGCGAGAATCGGAGATGCGAATAGAGGTGATTTTCCATACGTTCAATTACAAGAGTGTATATCAAATATGGGTTTGTCAAAAATGAAGATACTCCAAAATTGGATGGTTCATAACCATTTTCCCTATTAAACTGGTATACCGGTATACCCCTTTTCAGACACACCCAGCCTGCAAGGGATAGGAGGCCACTACATCATTGTTACAGGGCCAGGGGACCTTAGTGCTACGTAGCGGGTACGCTGGGAGGTGTAGATGCAAAATACCATGTGTAGGAGATTGAGACTGGTGGAGAGCGGGATATTCATGGGATTTAATGGGATATATATCCAACATGTTGATCTACTGATACTGTGTGGGTTTGTTTGAAAAGGGGCTATACCCCCAAAAAAACAATCTGATAAAGGTTGCAGTAAGGGTTAACGGATGAATATAAAGGTTACTACAGGGATGGGTACCCATACAGGGATGGGTCTAAATCGGTTCTTCCATGCAATACTTGGGGGATGCACATCCATAACTACCATCTAGTTGGATTTGAACAGAAGGGTGGGTTTGACCTCCATTTTTCAGGGTGATCTGTAGGAATATGATCAGGAATAATGCGGATATGATAGGAATACTATGGAGGTAGCATCGATTTTGAAATATGGATCATATAGCTGGGAAATAGCTGGTATAGGGTTGTAAATGGATGTACAGTAGTAGCTTTTCGACCTATTCCCAAATCAGGAAACAACTTAAAGCCAGAAAAAGATGGGGCCCACAGTAGGTAGCATTCTAAAAGAAATTGGGGCATACTGGCAATTTAGATTGGTTTTTCATGATGAGTCGTCCTGGGGTCCATCATGTTCAGACATTCTCGCGGAAGTTTTTGTCTTTTTTTCAGATCTGTGATGGTCCAGTATGAATAGTACTATATGGCAGTGTGTCAAAACCTTGTACCCCTGGTGAACCTCAAAATAGCTGGTAAATGGATGTTCATCCCCCTAAAAATGGTATTAATAGGTATTGATCCATACCCATATTATTGTGATACTGCTAGATCTGTGTAGAACTCACCACAGAGAGCATTGGGTCAAGAGCATTTTGCGTTTTGGATTGTGGACCTTTGGGCCTTTGGGCGTTGCTGGGCGTTGCGCCGTATCGAATACTTAGTTACTATCTCGCAACTTGACAACTATAGTCTGTCAATAATTAACAAGTTTGCCCCAGGATCACACCCTGTGGTTACTATTCATCTTTCCCATTGCAATTTGTGGGTGCGACCCGTTGTTTGTGGCATCAAAAATAAACTTCATTATTCAATACCGTCAATACCCAAGAAATCCACAGATGTGACAAACTGACCAAAGGTCTTGACAACACTGTACTTGCCATATTGCCTAGGCTCTTGTCATGCCCATACCGCACCAGAAAGGGCCCCCCCTTGAGTATTGAACGAAACCCCTATCACCTTCGGTTGCAGTTCTTGGTTCAGCGGTATTTCCATAATCACAATCCATAAAGATCCATACTGCAGCGACAAACTGGTGAGTTTTCTACTGGCTCAGTTGGCGAACTGAAAAAAAGGCGCTAAGAAGAAACACTTCAACCTATGTCGTGATCATTTGCTTGCAAAGTAAAACTCTGCCATCACTTTCTCTCGGTTGTACCCCAAAACATAAGCATCAACCACCATGGATGAACGGGCATTGCTCACATGTTTGTGAACGAATTATCCATGTGAGCCATTCATACGCGCGTAACAATACCAACCAACCATCGGGATATGCAGGCCACATTGCATCAACAACTCAAAAATAGGGAGATCTGGGAATTCACCCCTTATCGATCATGGGAGTCACTCCTTCATAACCAAATATGAAATAAGTCGTGCATGACAAAAACAATAATAATAATAACTGGTAATCATAAAGTTATTTTCTCAATAATGACAATCATAATAGTAATGATAAACATCTGGTGTGTAACTTACCCTGTGGCAATCTAACCTAGCCTGCTGGACAGTCACAATGTAGCGGCTAGTAAGACACCATTTCTAGTTGATATTCCCGTCAACAGCCAACCAGGTTGAAGATGATCCGTGGATTAAGGTTCTGGTGCGCCTAAGTTTATGTAGTCGGGACGACTTCTCATGGCCAACAGGGAATATGTATGCAACCATACCTCCTAGCCCGGCTCCAAATCACACTGAACGGATAGTCACTCCGCTCAAAACGTTCCCATCGGGAACTTCACCGAAAATAGAGTGGCTTGCGAAATCCACCAGTTGATACCCTCTGGTAAACTAACATAGCTATGGAAAATCACCATTTTTAATGTGTAAATCCACTATAAATGGCCATTTTCAATAGCTATGTTAGTTTACCAGAGGGTAGGTGGTCCCACTATTTAACTATTTATAGGGTTTCAGCCATCCAAGGCATCCAAGGTGGTGCAGACTTTCTTCCAAGCTACAGCAGCTGCGCAAGCTGTCTGGTGGTTCCTGGAAGGCTGGTATCCATGATGGTTCACCAACTGAGTATGTCAACATAAACATTTACAAATACAAACATATATATATATATATACATAAATATAATCATATACATATACATAATCATATACACATACACATGCACATATACGTGTACAGGTACATGTAACATGTAATATATACGTATACATAATCATATACATATACACATACACATGCACATATACATGTACATGTACATGTGACATGCAACATATACGTATACATAATCATATACATATACACATACACATGCACATATACGTGTACATGTACATGTGACATGCAACATATACGTATACATAATCATATACATATACACATACACATGCACATATACGTGTACATGTACATGTACATGTAACATGTAACATATACACATACATTGAGATACAAAAAAAACATATACATGTACATATACATACACATGTACATGTCCAAATACATATACATATACATATACATATACACGTACATATATATATATATACATCTACATGTACATATACATATACATATATAGATAGATAGATAGATAGATAGATAGATAGATAGATAGATAGATAGATAGATAGATAGATAGATAGATAGATAGATAGATAGATAGATAGATAGATAGATAGATAGATATACACATACATTTACGCATACATATTCATATACATATATATACATATACATTTACATATACATATACATATAGACGTACATATACATATATATATATATACACACATATACATTCACGTATACATTCACGTATACATTCACGTATACATATACATATACATATACATATTCATATACATATACATATTCATATACATATACATATACATATATGTACGTTATATTTACGTAAACACATCGCCTTGCAAATGGGGGACTTACCCAGGGTTGAGCAGTTTCGCTTCGTGGAATCCTGCAGGGTCTTTCTGATTGCTTGGGCCCACAGGAACTACAGTCATTTCGGCAGCGCACGGTATTTCTGTTTGATCATGATTGAGAGCCTGCGGCAAAATACCAAAATAACACAGCCCCGTTTCAAGCCCAAGAGATTTCATGCGCCTGTCTACCTGGATCATCATCTGAACATCCTGAGCTGGACATTCTGCGCGCTCTGCAGCTGAGGTTGTCTGCCAAAGTAAGAAAATCCAGAGCATTGCTGGATGCTGCAGGCGGAAAAGGGCAGAAAGAAACTCAGACGTGCTTTAAGAAAGCAATTATAATAATGGCTATTTTGAATTCGCTTGAGCCAATGGCGGCACCAAATTTGCCTTGAAGAACTGGAACGACAAGGGTGTGGATCACAAACCCGCCCGGCAAGGGATTGATATTGAAAGTATTACTCAATATGAATTATTCATTAGGCGAGTCCAACATTTCTACCTCCAGCCATGCATGATTAAAGTCTCAAGGCAAAATAAACCATTCTGATTGTGACCCTTCATGCTACATATGTTTGTACAGTTAACTCAAAGTGATTTCCATGATGTCGACCACAATAATACATATATATATATACATATCTACATATATATATATATATTTGTAGTTACTTATATATATATATATATAACAGCTCCGGCGCTCTTGTTTTCCTTCCATCTAGCTGATTCCCAGCGCCACAATCAAGTTGGGCGGGACACATTTGGGAGTGGAGGCCTTGAGGTGGAAAAACGATACCATCGCAGTTATTCACAACAGCTCCGGCGCTCTTGTTTTCCTTCCATCTACCTCTCAGTTGTCACAGGCTGCTGGAGCATGTTTGCTTCTGCAGCTGATTCCCACTCATCCCATCACCTCCATAGGTCTTCTTGATTGTGTAGCGCGTACCAAACATTTTTGGGCACATTTGCTTGTTGAAGGGCAATCGATCTCTGCAAAATCTTTGGAAAAAGGTTCGCAACAGTAAGGACTTTCGTTCGAGCTTCACTAGGGATGCGTTTCAAGTACAAGATAGAAGTGGTCTCTTGTACATAGATCTCCATGGTTTTCATGTTGATCCAGCGTCCTTTTCTGCGACAGTATTCACTGTTCTCAGTAACCTGGAGATGCCACGTTGCACCTCCTGCACGTAGGCTACCAAGGTCTAATGGTTTCATGCCATTGAACTTCTCCAGTGGAAGGCGCAGTTCGCGTAAAAGCTCTTTGAAACGCATCCTAAGAGTTTGACCTGACTTTTCCCATAGTCGGGTCCCTTCAGACTTCCCACCAAAAGCTAAATCGACGACCTGCAGTAGATCTGGTGTATCCAGCTTGGCCGCCTGATGGCGAGGTCCTGAATGTCTCGTTTTCGGTTCATGTATGGACAGGATTGCAAAAAGGATGGTCTCATCCACGTCGCGTGGTAATAAAAGGTCTCGCCTCTTCGCAGCAAAAATCTCACCAGCTCTGAGGAGTGCACCCCAACCTAAAGCAATACAACCTGCCACATCGACCCATCCCCACATAAGGGATACTGAAAGTAGTGACAACAGAACCTGCCAGGGCATAGCTATGTGGTGTGCAGAAGGCTCTGCCTGAACCCAGTTAAACGCCAAGTCCAAAGCTCCTTGCAGTTGACGCCTCAAAACAGGTTTCTTTGACGTAAGCATGTTTATGGTCTCGGCATAGACTGCATAAGGCTTTCCAGCTGTGTAGAGGAGCCTTCCGTACTTCGTCAAAACCAAATTGATTTCGTCCACATGCAGGTGGTACTCTCGCAGCAAAGCTTCAAAATTTAAACCTTCACTCTGACACCATTCCAAAAAACTCTTCCAGTATCTCTCTCGCAGTCTATTTGTCACCTCAAGAGTGACACGGCCTTCAGGTAGTCCTGGGCGTAACGCCCTTTCTTCAGCTCTTCGAAACTCGTGGCCAGTCTGAGGTCCCAGAACCATGGCTTCGGCACGAGGCATCTCACTAACTAACTAAGCAGCCCACCGCAAAGCAAGGCCAGCGAGAGAGAGAGCAACCCCGACCCAGGGAGAAGAAGAGACAAGGACAAGCCCAAGACGAAGGAAGAAGCAGCGAGAGAAAGAAGACAAAGAAAGGGAAAATCCAAAGAGCAAGGGAAGAACCTGGTCGAGGGCATAAACAACGGAGAGGGCCCTCGCCAGGGTAACCCAAGGTGCTGTCAAAGTCCATACAGCTAAAGTCCAACCTTGGGGAATGCTGAAATCCAGGTCGCACTTGATGAATGGATGTCCTCCTGTATAGAGACCGGTCGCCCCATTGAAGAAAGGATGGAAAACTCAGGAGGATAATGAGCCTGGCCCAGTTGGAGGCCCATCTGCGAAGTCTTGGGAGGCATGCCAAATCATAAAGCTGATTCTGTGAAATTTGGAAGGCTGAAAGTCCAATGGAAGAAGGCCTAAGGTCTCTATCCCTGGTGGGATCATCTGCCACATTCAGTCTCGTCGGGCAAAAAGGGTTTACCATGTAGAGGTCTCCTGCAACCAAGGTTGAGTTGATCCTGCGAAGAATGGCCATAACCGCTTTTGAAGCTGATCGACCCTTGCCCAGAGCTCCTCTCGAAACATTTGAATCTACCAGTGAAAGGAAACGCATGGATGCTAAACGCTTGACCTGAGTCTCAACCAAACGTTCGGCAGATTTCAGCTCCAAGAGGTTGATGTGGCTTTGTGCCTTGAAACTCCATACCTTCAAAACTTCCCAATCCGATGTGAGCATGACCTCGTTGACAAGTTGGGATTCCAAGCCTGACCCTTCACTTCCTGCCACGTCAAAAGCATGCTTGCGTATCTGCAAAACTCCATGTGCTATGCAATGCGCAAGTCCATAGGCAAGTCTGGGGACATAAGTGGCCGATGCTTTTGTGTAGGCCCCTTGAATCTGCACATGGTTGCATGTTCCAGGGCAGCGCAAGGCAATGGGCTGCAAATCCACATTGATCCCCAAAAAGGAAAAGCTCTTTCTGTGTATGGATCCAAACTGGCAGGAGTCTGAGCGCACCAACGAGGCTGCTGCAAGGTTGCAAAGGACTTCCCATGATGGGAGGTACTTCATCTTTGAAGAATGAGGTTTCTCAATCACTGCAATAGCCCCATTTGCCGCTGCTGTAAAACCAACCTGAAAAGACCTATGAGCCAGGATGTTGCCGTCCTCAGTCTGAGGATCTGAAGGGTCATAGCCAAAAGGAAAAGACTTGTCTCTCAAGGCATGTCTCCTCATGATAGAAAAAGTCGTGCAAGGAGGCATAAGGAGCACTGCCTTCAAGGTTCCCTCCGCAAGCAGATGAGTTACCCAAGCCACCAGATGAGGTTCCTTCATGTTGTACTCCTCTGAGATGGAAATGTCAATAGGAGGCCCACATACCACCCCAAAGCCGCTGACAAATTCCGTCACTCCACTAGCCCCTGAGAAAATTTCCAGGAACTCAAACACAAAAGCCAAAGGCCTTCCGGGCTTTTCTGTGGGAAGGTCTATTTTCTCATCACCGACCTCCTCGTACTCGTTGATCTTTGTCAAAAGGGCCTGTACTGGAGACAGCAAACGGGTGTACGCACCCTTTGTGCGGCAACTTCTGAAAAGGACCTCTTGCCACTGTCTAGAAACCTTTGCTCTGCAGATCGCACCTTTCTCCTCAGAGGCATCTGTAGCATAAATAAAATCATCAAACTGTGCCCCGATGTTAGACAGCATCAAAGGGGAAAGCACTGCAGCCAGAGTAAGCTCTTGCGCCACCTTCCGAGGGAGAGGAAGAGTCTCTTGGTTTCTAGTCGCAGCCTCATCGCCCACCACCAGTCTGAATGCAGCGTCAAACAAGGACATCATCGGACGCCTGTAGATCATCATCGAAACCCAAGCGCCCATAACACAGCTGTGAAGACCATAAGTAGTCAAAGGTAACTGTGAAAGCTGGAGTGAAAGGACTGCTAAGGAAAGGCGCTTCTCAACTGGTGCCCCAACAGTGCAAACTCCCCTACTTAAAGCCCGATGGGCACTGTTCAAGTAGGCTCCTATTGTTTTGCCCTCATCGACGCCGCACTTGTCCTTGTCTGGTGAGCCTTGAAGTCCAACAGCCTCATATGCCTGCTGCGCCAGATGGTAAGACTTGACGGCCACTGCCTGATCAGCCGACATACCCTGAGGCTCCACTGAAACACTGAAAAAATCATCAATCACAAGGCCCTCAAACTGGGTGCTGTGCCGGCACGGCTTGTTTGCCGTAAGTTGGACTCCTGGTCTCAGGAGTCCAAAATCCTGAAGAAGTTGAGTATGAGCTTCTGTTGCTAGGTCAACACCACAGTGGTCACCCTGCAAAACACTATTGAAAGCCGCCCAAACTAAACTTCCAGAAGTATGGCTCCTGGGATATTTTCTCTGGCCAAGCTGGTCACCATCACGCAACCTGTCATACCGCTTCTTTGATGCTGCCCTCAAGAGAAAAACGCCATACGCATCGAGGCCCTCGAGCCATTCCTCGGGTAGACCAGGCCCCAGTGTGTTTGACACAGCTCGTTGCCTGGTGACCTGGATCTGATGGTAGTAGTCCTTCCGGTCAGAAATGGATATCGACAAGCGTTGCCGCTTTGTGTCTACCACCACATCACACAGATCTGCTCCTGCAGGCAAATTGTTGCTAGGGCCTTTGATTACAGCCTCAACTGCATTCATGCCCCTGCGATCGCCGATCTGGCGGTCTACCGTCTTGGATTTGTAGGCATTGAAGATACGTACCTTCTGAAAATCTCTCCTTTCATCCACACCATCACGGTGTAGCAGCAAAAGCCCATTCTTGTCCCAAACCTGAGCAAGTTTGAGAATAGTTTCTTGGTCGTCTCGCAGGCGAGGATATTCCCAAGGCTGAGGAGTTCTGTCCAGTCTCAGAATCAGGGGCTCCTTGTAGGCCATAAGCAAATTCTCCGTCAAATAGTCTGAAATGTCCCAATGGCCCCTGCCCGTCACCTTCAAACGTGCTGGATCCAAATCTCGGTAAGGCTGCAACTCAGGGAAACGAAATTCGTCTCTGGGAACCTCATAGCCTTGGAAAGCTCTGTCATAGGGACCAGCTGAACATCCTTTCGCCTTGAAAAAATCTACCAAGTCAAAAAGTCGCGCAAAAAGCTCTGGATTCCTACGTCCCGAGCGCAGTATGTCAAACTCTGTGCTCAGGCCGTCCGACTTGATGATAGACCTCACAAAACCATAAAACCTTCTGTGCATGGAGTTTGGGGTCTGCCACAGCTCATCTCTTTCTCGGAAATCTCCTCCAAAATGCCAAAAATTCATAGCCATAGAAACGACGTGAACAGCTCTGTTGAGGGAGAGGGAGATGCGCTTCTTCTGAGATGGAGCTGCTGTCATCCGATCGAAGATACCTTGAAGTGGCACTGGGATAGGGAAGAAAGTCGGTGCAAGCCTGCCCCTAGGGCAAAGGGACTTGGAGATACGGATGGAAAGGTGCAAGAACGCGGAAAACGTTGTCCTTGTTCTCAAAACTAATTTCGTCAGCTTGGAACACCACTGCAAATAGCTGACAAGCTGGATTTCAGATGGCTTCTCGGCAGTCTCCTTCTCCACAGGAACATCAACATGGGAACTGCCGTCTTGTCCATCCAAAGGCAAAATGCCTGAAAAAGACTCGTAAGAGGCCTTATTGCAGGCCTGTCTGTGCTGTTCAAATTCTCGGGATTTGCCAGGGCCAAACAAAATTTCTTCAAGACTAATGGCCATGGGTGTCGTGCAACCAGATGCCGTGCCTAGGCATCTGCTATAGCCTTCGGCTTCTTCGGGAAGCGAGGCCCCTTTGGCCTCCGGGGGCTCTGGGACTCCTCGTCGGCAGGCTGGGCTTTTGGAGGGTTTGGACCGCCAGGCTGCCCACGCTTTGCTCTTGTCTCTGACCTTCTTGTGGCCAGAACCTCCAGCTCCTTGATGTAGGCCAGGTTTGTCGATGCCAAGGCAGGCGGCACCAATGGTGAGAATGGCCGGCCCGCTGCAGTAATCGTTGACATCCTTTCCGTGAAAAGGGTGGCAGGAGGATCTTCTGTCATCGCCAAAACGTAGGCCAGAGACCAATCGCCCGCATCGAAGACACTCTGCTCCAATGCCATCACTGCAAGAGCCAAGTACTCCTTTGTAGCCAAGAAGTCGCTTGAGGCAGCAGCATCCATAGCGTGGGCTAGAATCCACATGCAAAGCCCGGCTTCCCTCTGCCCCCTGTAGCCACCATATCTTTCCAGGTAAGTTAGGAGGGAGACCTGTGCCTGAGCCAAATCCTCTTCTGTCTTTGGCATCAAACGGGAAGGATGCAGCTTCTTGTAGACCTGTTGTTGGACCTGTAGGAAGAAACTTGACTTCCGCGCAGCCAAATCCTGCTGCATCCTCTCCCTCTTCAAAGTCCCCTTGGTGGAGCTTGTGGAGGCTCCTGGGACCCCACTCAGATCGAGGGAGCCCTCCTGGTTGATCAAGTGGCTGACCAATGCCGTCAAAGCTGCCGACTGTTGGGTCAATGCTGCCATGGCTGTGTCCTGCTGAAGGCCATCGTCCAGTGGGTGGTAAGGCTCTTCGGCTGGCATCTGAAACACCGGTGCGAGAGCTCTGACCTTTGGAGGGGGGCCCACCAGCGTCTGCTTCGCCCCGCCTTCTTTTGCCAAGCCCATACTGACCGGTGGGATGCGCGCACCGTAGTTGAAAGTCCCTAGCTCTGCAGCATGACCTGCAGGTTGGGACGGAGGGCCAGGGATAGCTGGAGGCTGTCCACCCCCCTGCACAGGCTGCTGTTTCATCAGCAACTGCATTTGGGCCGTCAGCGCTGAAACCTTCTCTGCCAGGGCTGCATTGGAGATCCTCTTTGCCGTCGCCTTTTTGGGCGCTGCAATGGGTGGACCATCCGGGACATCCAGCTCTTCTCGAGCACTGTAAAAAAGGACCCTCCCTTCGGTCTCGCTCCGTGCCCAATCGAGGGCTGGTTGAAGAAGCTCCGCATGGAGTGGAACTGCTGCTGGTCGTGATTCATCAAATGGGATCACCTCCGTCGTAGAATCCGTGACTGGATCATATTCCCTCATGTACTGCAAAACTGTGTCCAAAAAATCACAAATCACCACTGAGCATGAAAGGCCACACTGGGTCACCTGGATTGCCCCTGAGCCAGTGTCGTCTTCCTCATAGAGCTCAATACCTTCAAAAACCTTCATAGGTCCCACCATCTGATCCTCGTCGGCTGGAGATCGGGCAAAGGCCTCATCCTCTAAGACCCCTACCGGCAAGGCTACCAACAAACCTCCCTGACGGGAGATCAAGGGCAAAGCAAATGTTGCCACGGACTCACCTCCAGCCGAAATCAGATCAGGGACATCAAAAATCAAAAGGCTTGGTGATGTAGCCTTTGCAAATCTCACTGAGCGCTTGTCCATCTCAACAAAGGAGGGACAGGGAGTTGTGCTCCCGCGCAGAAGATTTGAAGCTCTGTGATCGTGGGAAACTTCTGAACCACAGATGCACCCGGAATACTCGCACACAATCTATCTGCCTCCCAGCGAGATGTGGTGCGGGCCAAGTTGCTGATGCCTTGGTCCTTCTGAATGAGCCAGATGGTTGGCGGAAGCGCTGGGTTGTAGTTGGAGACCAACTCAACGTTGCAAAGCCAGCCAATCCTGCACCAAAAACCTTCTGAGAACGCTGCCGCAGCTCGATCTTCTGCAGACGCTTTGGTTGATCTCAGCTTCTTTCTTGCAAGGGCCAAAAGAAACTCTGGAATCGGAGGGGGCCCAGTTTCAGCCTCAAACCGGATTGTGGCGTTGAAATCCGAAGGGGCTCCTGGCACAGAACTCTGCTCCTCAATCACCTCCCACTCTCCCAGCTCCTCCTCAGGAACCTCTGCACTAGAACTTGCTTGCCGAGACCTGCTGATCTCAGCGGACAGGCCTCTAATCGCTTCAGCCAGATATCGGATCGCTGAAGCAATCCCCTCACTGCTCATGCACGTAGGCTCGCAGGCGTGCCAGCTGATTATATCGGCTCTGGCTAGGAGAAGTGCTCGGATGAGCAACAGGAGGGATGATTAGAAAAGCCCAGCAAATCCAAAGGGCAGAGGCAATTCCAAGAACCAGTCCAGCCAGAAATCCAGAGGCAAAGACTGGGAAGATGGAAGGGTGGCAGTGAGCAGGGCAGGAAAGTGACCAGGAGAAAGTGGACAGCACCCCAGCGGCTTCCAGCAAAGCAGCAGCACCCCACATTCAGGCCTTGAGGTGGAAAAACGATACCATCGCAGTTATTCACATATATAAAGACCCTCCAGATAGCCATGGAAATAAATGAAATCCCAAAATCACTGGTGTACCAGGCCCGCAATGACCATGCCTACCTTTCTGCTTGCGGCGCCGAGCTCACCAAAATACATCATGTGGTGATGCACATGCCTAAAGGCAACCGATGACCAGCAATGTTCTGGTAGTTTTTGAAAACTAAGACCTGAGGTGGAATGTGTTTGACAGAAGAATTATGAATAAATTATGAATGGATTATGAATGAAGTATGAATAAATTATGTCATATGAATGTTCATCGCAAGTCATGTTTGAAAAATGTGGGCAACCGGAGTTCCAGAGCACCTTGGGACGGCAGGTCGCGGGTCCTTGTGAACTGCACGCCATGACGCACCTGGTGTGCGTTTTTTAAAAACCCCATGGCGGCCCCGCAATCAGCGCGACATCGAAACTTGGACCATTTGAAGTATTTGGAAATAATTACTAACAGTAATATATGGAAATTAATAATCTGGTAATATTATAGTGAAATCCGCCCGCACCGAAGGTGCTGGGGCGTGATCGTCCGGATGGCACTCGTAAAAGGTTACAGGTTTACCTGGGGTGGGGGGGGGCATTATTCGGCCAAAACCTCCTGTTTTTGATAGGTCGTGACGCTCGCCTTCAAAAAACACTGTAAAAAACAGTACGGAAGACACCTGTTCGTGAACGCGCCCGTCCAAAATCGGCAAGCGAAAAGTGAAAAAAACCCGTGTTTTTCAACTTTTTGACCTCAATTTTTTGGTTTGCAACATCTTTTTTTGCGGTTCCGCAGGTGGCCTGGCCCGGAGGCGGATTTTTGAGTTTTTGGACCCGTTTTCGGACTGATTTTCGTCGTTTTGTGATAGCAGAAACACTGGTTTTTACAGTGTTTTTCTGTTTTCTGCATGCTTGACGGCTAGCTTCAAAACTTCCAAAAACCTCGTAAATTACGCTGTTTTATGTTACGGTGTGAATGAAAACATCGTAAATACCAGTGTTTTTTGACGTTGGTTAAAAAAACACTGTAAATTACAGTGTTTTTGGCCACCTGACCCTCAAAAACCATGGTATTTGCAGTGGTTTCTGCTTCTCACCGCGCAAAAACACTGTAAATAACAGCAATTTCGCCGTTTTTTCATGTTTTTCGTTATTTTTTGAACTGCGTTGGTCCGCTATACATGGCTATCAAATTCTTCGCGTTTTTTTTCCGACAATCAGTACTTTCGGATGTTTTTGGTCTCAATGGCCGACATCATTGGCAGTTACGAGCGGTCGCGAAGGTGTGAGAACAACATCGTTCAAACCGTGGCGGCCGCACAGGGGTTCTTGTCGCGGAGCGACGGCAATAGAAGAGAACAATGGCAGTAGAAGAGAACAATGGCTGACATCATTAACAGTGTGGACCGTTCACTCGATATGTACATATATGATCTTTATATATATATATAGATATATCTCTGCTGTGTGAGCCCAACGATGCGGTGCGGGCGGTTGCCGTCGCGAAGCGACGTGAATATATAGTGAAATATTATTTGGAAATCTACTAACAGTAATTACTGGGCAAATTATCATATATAAATGTTGGGCTATTTTTGGATGATGATTTCCAAAAATAGCCCAACATTACATTGGTTATATATAATTTAATATATAATGGTCTATTATAATATATAATGGTCTAATTAACAATAATTACTAATTACCCAACATTACTGGGTTAATTCACTCACCTGAAATGTTGGGCTATTTTTGGATGATTCCTCTTCTCAACCAATGGGTTTGATATGGTTTAATTTTTGGCCCGCCTTCCATGTGGAAACTTTTTTGTGCCTCACCTTCAGTTGATCCTTGCTGCATATGGGATGAACTTCCTCAAAGGATTGTAGTGGTTTGCTGAGGTCTGGCAAATGTCCTCACATTGGCTACTCTCACCACAGACTACAAAAAAAATACATGAAAGAACTGGGTCAAGCTTCCAGAATGCAGATGCAATTCCAGCCGGCGCCTCTTTCAAGCCAGAGTAGTTCCACTGTAGCTGTGGATATGCACAAGTCTTTTGATTTCTCTTCCGGAAAGTCTCACTTCAAGTAATTCTAAGATGATACCGACCTGCTATGTCCTGATTTATCCTAAAATGGCCACTCGGCACGTGCTGGGGCCAAGTCCAGTTTCCTTGGCTGAAGTTTGACTTCCAGGCATGCCGCGAGATCGTCCAAATCGCCCAATTTGCCAAGTCTCGGGGCAGACCTGGCGGTGTCGGCAAGATTTTGATGTAGCATATGTAGCTGCTTCCCAAGACCACTCGCCAAATTTTGTCATGGGCTCAGGGTGCGAGACCCGCTTCCATCCGCGCTGTCGGCAAGATTTTGGGGATGTATCTGCCTCCGAAGATTCCACTGCAATACACCAGGAAAACTCCCCGAACAAAGAGTTCTTTGCAATCGAAATTCCGAACAAAGAGTTCTTCTGGGCGCGCACCAATGAGCCGCGTGGGAACCCACTTCATATGAGGCAATAAGCTTTTGTTCACCACCATTTCCCCTAAAGCCGCATCATCTCCATTCCGAATCGCCTCGATAGCAGGCAAAATGGCGGGATCACGCGACCTTTTCGGCTGAATAACTTTGGCCCGACAGATCTCCTTGTCATCTTCGCTGCTCCTGACCGTGCATCCACCCAGCAAGGCGCTCATGGATGCAGTGGCTGATTGGACTTCATTACCCGGCTCGATTTCCGACAGTTCTTTCAACAAAAGGCTGTTGAAGCTGCTGGATTTCCAGAGGCCTGTGACCAAACTCACAACAGCATAATTCCCGGCCACTACGAGATCTGTGTCGCTGGCACCTTGCCACTTGATCAAGCTCTCAATTTTGAAGTTGATGTCCACGATGACTGCATCGACGCTCAACCAGAAGATATACTCACAGTCCGTCTTGTCAATCAACAGTTGGGTCGACTCCCTTCGGGTGAGCCTGGGCCTTGTTGGCTCAGATCCCAAACTGTAGAGGTCATAGCCATGAAGTTTGGCATAGTGAATTCTTAGTTCCTGCAGCATGCAGTTTCTTCTTGTTGCCGCCCCGGTAAGAATGGTCTACCCATTCTGACTGCCTTGGGTTTGCTTCTTAATGGGCCCGAAACAATTTTTAAAAACTGCGGTTTCCCTGGATCTTGGGAAAACTGAAACAAAGTAAATCAAAATACTTACTTTTTGATGGTACCCCCAAGCTGCAAACAGATATGGGGCGACACCCGGGCCGGGCAAATCGGTGAATGACCCAGGGCCTGGTACTGCTGGTGGCGTTTGGCACACCACTGGGATCTCTGCGGGCGTCTGCCGCTGGATCAGGGGGCAGGCCGGCATTCAACAGGCCCCGCTCGATGTATTGCGGCAAAAACACCTTGGCTGCGCCGGTGGTTGGGCCATCCCTTTGGGGGGGATGCCGGGAAAATTGGAATAGATGAACTTCCAAAAATTACGCCATAATAGACCCCAGATAGCAAAAGATATTTATTGGTGGCAACCAAACGCTCGCGGCATAAACGTAATCTCCATCAGGGCCCAACGACCGCACGGCAGCACCCTGTAGTAACATTCCCAAGATGCAGACAGCCCTTTGCAGCGGCACCCTGCAAGAGACCAGCAGGCCAGCCCCAAAGCACACACAGCACTCTGACAGCCCTGCAGCGGCACCACTATCCCAGCTAATAGCAACACCCTGAAGCCACCCTGAAGCCACCCTGCAGCGGCACCCTGAAGCGGCCAGCAGGCCAGCTCCAAAGCGCACCACTCCCACTCCAAAGCGCACACACCCTCAGGCAGCACGCTGCAGCGGCACGCTGCAACGGCACCATGCATCGGCACCAGCATGACGGCTCACACAGCACCCTCCAGAGCGGCACCGCCATCCCGCTCCAAAGCGCACTGACAGCAGCACCAAGCACGGGCATGCCGGCCCAAGGCGCACACACCACTCTGACAGCAGCACCTTCAAGCAGCACCGTGCAGCGGCACCAACATGCCCGCTCCAAAATGCAGACATGAAACTCCTCTTATACTTGAAGTAAGAACCCCAATAGCTTCGCTATCTGGGGAAAAATGTGAATAAATGCAAGTAGGATCACGCCAACTAAAGTCGATGGGAATGTTAAAAGTGCCTGAAACCGCCTATGCTAATCACCTCCAAATTCTTTGCGGGTGAGGCTGGATCCAGGATGGAAACCGAAGCTACTCTCGGGTCATCATCAGAGAGGAACTGCTGCAGAACGAGAAGGGCTCACAAGGGGCATCTTCAAGTGTTGCACCAACAAAATACATGAAAGAAGGCAGGGCCATCTTTGCCACTCCAAGAGGGAAACGAAAGGGGCCGAAGAACCCAAAAGAAAAACCATGAACACAGCTGACATCTAAGGAATTTACGTTATACATCTCAACGCGTTCGACTGGATTCCTATCTTTAAACTTTTGGCTCGTTGTCATTGACAAGTGCTGCTGCGAACAGTCGCCCACTCCACACCATCCGTTGCAAAGTCTGTCCAAGCCAACCACTCTATGCACCTGCTTTACGCACCCATTACCCACACATTCCGCTCCGTTCACACTATGCTTGCTCAGCCCCCCGAAATCATCCATCCACAATCTTGTCCACCCATACCCTGGACGCTGGCTCTATTGGCGACTAGAAGACTAAACCAAACCCCAAGCACAAAGATGCTTTTTGAGAAAACAACATTCTGCCCAGATATCAATCATATTCATCATATTCCTGACAACGTCCGTCACGAGTGTCTTCCAGTTCGCCCCCCAAATACATTTAAAAAGTGCTGAATCCAGGCCCACCAAGCTTCGGACTTCCCTTTGCCGCCGGGACAGTGCACTATAAAGTCTGGATCACCCCAGCGGTATTGACCTCCAAAATAACCAAATGGGTAGGAATTGATTGCACGCTTGGGAACCCACTTTATGTGGGGCAGCAAGCTCTTATTCACCACCAGTTCTTTGATTTTTCTATTGTCTCCTGGATAGAAATGTTCCCGTGCAAATGTGCGATTGTGCCAGTCAACATCCATATGTCTGTAGCAAGCGTCCTTTTCTTCTGGACTGTTTTCTGGCTGGCATCCTCCGAGGATTGCATTAAAGGCCCCCGTCTCTACCAGAGGAGCAAAACTGCCCATGTTCCATGAATCTTCCAAAATCTGGTGCGTGAATCGGCTGAACTTCCAAAGACTTTGAGCCAGATTCGCGGCCAGAGTATCCGCCGCCAACACGATGTCAGTGTCTTCCATTCCGTCCCAATGGATGAGATTTTCCAGAGAAAAGGACATGTTCATGATAATGGCATCTGAATCCATCCAAAAAATGTAGTCGCACCCAGTCGTGCCACTCTCTATCAAATATTGTGTTGATCTCATCTTCCAAAAATGAACTTCGTGTGTTTTGTCACTTAGCTCAGAGTCATCAATATAGGTGTAGAGGTCATAGCCATGGCGTCTGGCATACTCCACTTGTAGTTCCAAGACTTTCAACGATAACGTTCCAACCATAAGGCACTGGAGGCACATATGGGGCGAAACTCCGGCTTTCGCAAATCGATGGACCAGCCAGGGAGTAGAGAACAGAGTGGCATCGGGAATGCTGGATGGATCTCGGCGTCTGGCTGCTAAGATGGCAGCGGACTCAGGGGGTGCTGTGTGAGACATGGCCGCTATGACATCCACCCAGACTTGGGCGTTCGTGGAGACTTTCGAGCTCAGCTCAAAGATCCTCGACATGCTCAAGACAATGCAGAAGAGCAGCAGCGAAAAGCGCCAAGCAATAACAGTTCGACAAAAGTTGGGCTGAAAATACGCCTCCTGCTTCACCCCACCATCCTCAAGCAAACTTCCGCCCTCAAGCTCGACAGGCGCCTCCTTGAAGGGGAATTTGAGCTTGAGGAGAAATGATCAAAAAACGTAGACTTTAGACTCTTTAGACTTAAGTTTCTTCCAAGGAGAAGGAAGCCAAGAGTTCTAGTTTGACACTCCTCTGCTTTCCACAGTCTCTGGATCAATCAAATGATGCAGGGTCATGGTCTGGAAATCATTCAATGCTTCGCCTAACACATCACCATTTTTCTTGTCTGACAAGCCCCAAATATGCAATCTTTCCTTCAAGGACACACTTCTGATGCGCCCCTTCATTATATTCCAATATTCCGCAAACATTTCCCATCATTTCCAAATTCATCACGCCTCGTCACCTTTCACGCCCGCACCAAGAACAGTCACATCGGCCGCCATGGCATTGGGCACATGCATATTTCAATATCGTGTGCCTGCAGATGCACAAGGCATAAACTTCTCGTCGGCTATGCTGCAACATGTGCTAATTTTTCCTTGTTCAATCGGACACCTAGTGTTTCTTAGACCTTCGAACATGATTTTCCACGTCCAATCGTCTTGGGATGCGTCCTTTTCCAACAAGGTCGGATGCGTACTTTGCCACATCCAAAAAAAGGCTCAGCGAGTGGCATGGGAACAAACAACCACTGACGGCCCAACAACTTACACCAACCAGCCAAGGCATTGCCCAACAATGTCCTCCAAACATGCAGGGGCGGGTTCGGTAAGCCATTAGTATTCATTTGTCATCGTTTACCTACTATTCTTTTGTGAATCAACCAGCCGGCAAGGGACATTTATGATTTTGCACTCTAAATATGCAGTCAGATCTACCCTGGCCAGTAGAATTGAAACTATCTGGCAATATCTGGCCTCTGGTCGTTGTTGGTCCATTTCACAGGAAATACGGGCGAAAACCAGGGTCTGGGAAGTTCCTGTAATGTTTGCCTAAAACCAAACTTAGGAGTCAGATTCAGTCAGATATACCCTGACACAAGGCCATATCACATCATCCTTCACGTTTCCCACTGCATTGATGGGAGCAGAGATAAGTGACATAAATTCAGAGACCCCTCACCTTGCAGCGTGGCAGTAGGAGAAAAAGATGTCTCAAGAATTCTCAAGATAAGATCATCTTAACATAAGAACAGGTTGAGATGAGATCATGAAAAGAAAAGATGATGTTAGCATTTAACATGAGATCTTCGTAAGGTAAGATTCAACATAAAGTCATCGTAAGGTAAGATCATATTTGTATACAAACATATTGAGAAAAAATGTTTGCATAAGATAAGAAACAATAGTCTTAGGGCTAGGGTTTTTACCATGTCTAGATAAGATTGTGTTTACAAGAGAACATCGTATGAATAGATCAAGTTATCAAAAGTCCGCTGCAAGATCCCATTCTGTTACCATGACATCGATCGAGAGATCATCTTAAGATAAGATATAAGCTGCTCTCAAGGTAAAATCATTTAATCATTATACATAAAGATCAGGTCATCTCTTTCGGTAAGCCCTCCTCAGTAAGGTAAAGTCAAGCTGTCATTTTCAGCCCAACTCAAAACAAGACTTTCCATGACCTCGTCAAAGGTGAGATCTTCTGTGATTTCCTGTTAGCTTATCTTTAGGCAAGAATGGGCAAGAACGTATTACAACAAGATTGTGTTTACATACAATCATGTCAACACATGTTCCTCTTCAGATAGGATATTCTTCATAGATCCGAAGATAAGACCATTCATATTGACACAAGGTCCTGTCCAAATGAGATCAGGTTCACATAGGATGACCCTAACATACTGTTTCCTTAGTTTCCTTAGTTTCCTTAGGATTAGGTCATAAATTTTGGAATAATAATAATAATAATATGAATCAAAATATCATATGCAGATAGCATCTAGTCATCTAGCATCACTTCAGCAGAAGATTATGCAAAGAGAAGATCAGGTCAGAAAAGGATCCTGTTGAGAAACCATGTTCTTAATGTAGGATCTGCTTATGATAAGACCATCATGTTTACATAAGATCGTCTTGAGACAACGTCGATGTTGACAATAAAAGGAAATTCATTCAAGCGTCCTCGGCGCTTGATGGCATAATCCGGAACAGTTCATCGAACGGCCTTGAAAAAAAGAACTGAATTGAGACTAAATTGCCAAAAAGCAAGCACTTGGACAGGAACCAGCCATACTTGCTTATGCACGGAGAGAGGTCATGTAGCTTAGCGCCACCTTTCGAGATAGAATCAGATAGAACATCTTCGCCCCAGTTCAGACTTTCATGAACACACAGAAAAATAGTATTCTTGTGAAGGATGACAATGGTCTGCAAGACAGGCGGGGGAATCTCAGGGTTGCAGCCAACATCAAAATGTCCGCTCCCTCAATTTGGATCAATTTGGGATATTGAGTGGTTTATGCACATTCCAATCCTTGGAACAGGCCAAAAAAGCTGCATGCTCTCTGGAAAATGTTCAAGGAAGCAAGGCCACCCCAAACTTAATCCAAATTCACATAATTGGGACACTCAATCCAACAAAATCACCCAGTTTCCACCTCCCCTCAGCCCCATCCTCCAGCTTTGCACTTTGCACCGGCAGCCATGATTCAATACGCCCACGTTTGATAGACAGAAACATTTGTTACGTCTGGCGTCTCTTTGCAAGTTCCTGCAAGTTGTGGAATTCCAAGCTGAAAAAGAAAAGCGAAACAAAAGGATACAGGAAAATGAAATGTTCAAAAGAAAAATGCAAGATAATTGAAAATCCGAAACACTGCTCTAAAATCTCAGATTGACAATCTATAATGGGAACCAACTGGACATGGATAGATATGCGTCATGTTCTATGACTTGGTTGAAGCCATGACTTTTAAGCCAACGGCCTGGCAGAGCCGGCAGAGTGTAACCGGTGTAACCGCCCTTGAGATGTCCATTGTGAAGACATCGGTTGAAACCAGCAAGTTCCTACAAGAAACCCCAGAGATATCCACGGATACTGTAACTAGATAGAATATGATAGAATATGATAGAATATGATAGAATCACATCCCAGCGAAACAGCCGAGTCAGCCGAGTCGAGGTCCGCTTTTTTGTCAAGGCCGGGCATGTGCTGATCTTGGTTTGCAATATTTGGCTATAAGTTCATTATGCAAGGCTGTGGCAGTTTGCAAGGCTTCATCCGCCAGCTTCTCCCCTGCAGAAGAAGCATGTTTTTTGCCGCCTCTGTAGTATTTGGCAATAATTTGCTTGAAATCCCCAGGGTCCTCCTGTGACCCCATGAATGACAAAAGATCAGAAATTCCAACATTGGGTGCTTCATATCTCCAGCAAGCAATGAAAGAAGGATCAAGTAGGCTGAGGTGTGTACTCAACAAAGACAGGGTCGCAGTGTACATACTGATGGCATGTATCAGACCACCTTTCTCATAACCCCTTCTCATACCACTGCGGACAACACTCCTGGGATGTCGGAGCAACAACACGATACGTAAATCAACTCCAGCATCTTCAGCCAATTTTGCTAATGCAGGGACATCAGGGTTCTGAAGGGCTCTGGTACGACCTAAAAAGTTGGGATAAGACATCATCCCAGATACTCTTTCATTTAAGACATTCAATGGTACAATACCACCACCCTGTTCGCGAATACTTCGATCAGCATCTGCCATCATCTGCTTGATTCGAATAGAGTGGTTTGACCGAACGGATTCGTCCCAGGTGCTGAAAAAACCCGTCTTGTGATCTCCACTGTACAATTCGGCTGACAAATTTCCTGACCAGTTTGTGAATGGATGCAAATATGGCAGCAAAGAGTGCCAGAAGTGGTGGCCTGTGCCCTCAATTCCAGCAAAAAATGGAAAGCGGCAGCTTTGACTAACAATTCGTTTTGGTAACTTCTGGGAAGAAACATTGTCGTCTGCCAAGCTGGCGTTGCAGTACTTTGACAGCATTGCATTGTGCAACGCCGTAGCGGTTTGTAAGGCTGCAGGAGTAGCACCAATTTCGTTGGCACCCTGTCTGGATTCTTTTGCAACAACTTGCTTGAAATCATCAGGGTCCTCCCGTGACCCCATGAACTGCAAAAGATCAGAAATCCCAACAGTGGGTGCTTCATATCTCCAGCAAGCAAAAAAGGAAGGATCGAGCAGGCTGAGTTGTGCGCTCAACAAAGCCAGGGCCAAAGTGTACATCTTGATAGCATGCATTTGTGTTTTCTCAAAATGTCTTTTCAAACCACTGCGGACAATACTCCCAGGATGTCGGACCAACAACACGATACGTAAATCAACTCCAGCATCTTCAGCCAATTTCGCTAGTGCATGGACATTCGGATATTGAAGGGCTCGGTCAACTCCGAACAAATTGGGATAGGACATCATCCCAGAAGTTCCTTCAGACAAGACATTCAAGGGTAGGATGCCACCACCCTGTTCGCGAATACTTCGATCAGCATCTGCCATCAGCTGCTTGATTCGAATAGAGTGGTTTGACCGAACGGATTCGTCCCAGGTGCTGAAAAAACCCACCTTGTGATAATTATCGTACAATTGGGCAGAGAAATTTTCTGACCAGGTTGTGAATGGATGCAAATGTGGCAGCAAAGAATGCCAGAAGTGGTGGCCTGTGCCCTCAACTCCAGCAAAGAAAATCAAGCGGCAGCTTTGACTAACAATTCGTTTTGGTATCGCCTGGGAAGCACCACCAACGTCTTTTTCGCACGAGGGCCACCATGGCCAATCTCCGCGCCAGAGAAACATGGGAGTGGACGGTCCATCAAAATAGGTCCCCGAATCATAGGCTTTGTCACAGCTCCCGCGGCTTCTCCAACGGTGCTGGGCAATGGCACAGCTGTGGTTTGATAGGCTGAAACCTGTGAAATTGATGGCCTTCTGCAGGATCAGCTGATTCATTGGGCCCAAA